TCACCCTCCATGAAGGCCACCCTTGCAAGACCCCTCCCCTCTTCAGGATAACTGCGGTGTCTTCTGGTCACTTCTCCTTGTATGTATCTTCACCCATCTGCATTTTCTTTTCCATATTGTGCCCAGACTGATCTTTAATACTGATCTTTAAAATCATAAGTCAGAAAAAAAAATCATAAGTCAAATTGTATTAGTCAGGGTTGACTAAGGAAACAAACCCAGGGAGACACTCATATGTGTATAAGAGAGAACTTTATATCAAAGAGCAATTGTACATTAAGAAAGCATCCCAGCCCAGTGCAGATCAAGTCTATAAGTCCAATATTACCCCATATGTTGATACTAGTCCATCTTCTTTAGACTCACGCAGCCATGCAATGATACTGAATGCAGGAAAATCACAGTACACTGGGTGGAAAGTCTTGTGGATCCAGTGGTGGTGGAAGCATCTCAGCAATGGGTGAGCCAGTGGAAGCATCTCAGCCACATGGCTCTCCATGTGGCTCCTTGTAGCCCCAGAGCTCTGACTCTATCAGCATAGCTCCATGTGGCTTGCCACCAGGAATGTCTCATAGGGAATGTCTGTGCCTGGCTCCAATGAGCTATTTATGTCCTTCATGCCTCCAAATGAGGTCATCAAGCTGTGACCTGATTGACAGGCTAGACTCCACCCCTTCACAAGTTGGCAGCAGATTATGTAACTGCCACACAGCTAATGTGACTTTGCCAAAACTTCCAAAACTGCCTTTCTCATCGAACTTAAGACATCTGAAATGATCCAAAGAGCAAGTTGCCTTAGAATAGTTTCAGACTCATCACAATCCATGTATGTCAGAGCAGAACTGTGCTTCATGAATTTTTCAATGACTGATTTTACAGAAGTAGACCTCCATGTGGTCTTCCTTCCCTGGAATCTCTGGGTCAATTAAAGCCTCTAACCTTTGACTAAACAGTAAAATGCTTAATCATTTATACTCACCTAAAACCTCTTTAAAGTGTTGCTAATCAAGGAGGTTACTTCGAGGAGTAAGGTGAACCTGACCCAAGCCATGGTATTTTCAATCATCTCATAAGCATGTGAAAGTTGAACATTGACCCAAGAAAACCAGAGGAGAATAGATGCATTTGAAGGATGCTGCTGGCAAAGACTATTGAAAGTCCCACGGACTGTCAAAAGAACAAACAAATCTGTCTTGGAAAAAGTATAGTAAGAATGCTCATTAGAGGCAAGAATGATGAGACTTTGTCTCAAGTACTTTAGACATGTTGTCAGGAAAGACCAGTCCCTGGAAAAGAATATAATTCTTGGTAAAGGAGAGGGGCACAGGAAAGGAGGAAAGCTTTGGACAAGATGGATCAATACAGTGGCTGCAAACATAACAATTGTGAGGATGTCTTGGGACCAGGCAGTGTTTTGTTTTGTAGTTCATAGGGTTGCTGTGCGTTAGAACTGACTCAATGACACATGACAACAATAACAAACCGATGGAATGATTGAGAAGGCGCTGAAGGACTGGAGTCAGCCTTCATTGTTTGCCTGCTGTGCTTCTTTCCAGAGGCCTTCTTGCTGTACCGGACATCGAACTTCTCCTGCTCTGCTTAACTCTCCCCAGATACCTATATGGTGTTTCCTCAGCCCTCAGCTCAGAACTCCCCAACGGTGCTCATGCCAAGACCCTTCCTATCCAGGGCACACTTTTTCTGACCCTGGTTTCTGGCCCCTAACTTCCTTATTTCTGTATTGTCAGTTTTCCTGAGAGCTGGGAATATAATGTTTACTGTTGTGGTTTTGATTCTGAGAAGATTATAGCCTACTATCTATCCCAGCCTGTTCCTTGAACACACTTCCTCCTGTTGGGAACTTTTACTTGGGTGAATCTAATTACTCTTGTAGGATTGTCTGTTGATTTGAGGTGACTGAAGAATATTGTTATATGGCAAGAATTAATTTATTTTCTCATCCCTGCCCCACCTCAATGAGAAACTGACCCCATCTATAGTGAGGCCATGTCTCTTGAGGTTGTTTTTAAGATGTTCTGATGGCAATGTGGTTGGGCTGCTAACTGCAAGGTCAGTAGTTCTAAACCACTAGCCACTCTCAGAAAAAGAAGGGGGTTTCTATTTCCGTAAAGAGGTACAGTCTCAGAAACCCACAGGGGCAGTTCTATCCTGTCCTATAGGGTCAGTATGGGTTGGACGCTACACAATGGCTGTGAGTTTGGGTTTCTGGCTTTAATACATTTTCAGATAGTTTATGGGAACTAGGTGAGCACATTATAGTAATGCTCGGAGGATCTGATTAAAAGACAACATGGCCTGGAGACTGGAGCCTGTCTTAGTCTTGGTCTTTATTCTTAGGGTAGAGGGCTCATACATATTTCTCCTTTTGTGCCACTAACTTCACTCAGCCTAATGGTTTCCAGGTCCATCGTATTATGAGGTGTTTCTTGGTTTCCTCACTGTTTTTTAGGGATGCATAGTATTTCATTGTATGTATGCTCTGGAATTATCCTGCCATAGTCGTATGTTTTGCCCAAGGATGGGTGAGGAGTTAGATATTTTATGGAGACATGGACATGGGAGGGATGGAGGTGGATCTTAGGACTTATCTTAGAATTTTCCCAGAAGTGGTTGCAAATGTGGTTCATTGGTTTAGAATAGGCATGGATGGGATTAATTCTACCACTAGACCACAACTGCCTCCAGGCTTTATTACAATCCCTTGCAAGAGAAAACATTGAGATCAAAGGTCAGTGGTTTGCTTTGATTGGAGCCAGGGCTAAGCTTTCACCAGTTGGTTTCCTTCTGTCCCCCCCACTGCACCCCCACCCCAGTCCCCCCTTTCCTCCCTTTCCTCCCGTCCTTTTCTTTCTTCCTCCACCCATCAGTCTCTCTCTTTCTGACTCCCATCCATGAAATTTGCTCATTGGGTGTATTAGTCTAGGTACTTTAGAGAAACAAATCCACAGCAACTCATGTATAAGAGAGTTTTATGTAAAGAAAGTGTGCATCACGAAAACATCCCAACCCAATGCTGCCCAAGCCCACAAGTCCAACATTAACCCATTAACTCAACACCAGTCCGCAAAGTCCTCCACCTCACAAAACAGAGGCAATGATGCTGACTGCAGGAGGAAAGCTGAGTCAGTGAACAAATAAGCATCTCAGCACTAACAGGGTTCTCCACACGGCTGCTCCAGCACCCAGGGCTGCATCAAGATAGGTCCATGTGGCTTCTCCTTGGGGATGTCTTGTAGGAAGTCAATCTTGCAAGCTGAAGTAGGGAACTGCTAAGGCAGCTGCACCCTGGTGCGACCATCACAAAGCAAGAGACCTGAGAACTAGAAAGGCGAGGCTCACCACCCATTTATCCCTCTGCCTTTCAATGAGCCCCACATGTGATTATCAGCCAGGTTGGCACAATTAACTAACTCATTGGGCTATACTAAGGCATTTGATTGTATGGAACCTAAATATCTATAGATAGCCTTGAGAAGAATGAGAATTCCGGAATGCTTCAGTGTGCTCATGCAGAACTTGTGCATGGATCAAGAGGGAGTTGTGCAAATTGAACAAGAGAATACTGCATGGTTTAAAATCAGGAACGGTGTGTGATAGGGTTGCATCCTCTCACCGTCCTCCGAGAAGCTAAATTATATTAAGAATGTGGCATCAGGATTTGAGGGCGCCTTATTAACAACCTGTCCTATGTAGTTCTGCTCTGTCCTGTAGGTTCTCTGTGGGTTCTGATTCACAGGTGTCCTAAATGTGACCCTGTGAACAAGAGAAGGAAATACTGCTGGGTCCGGTGCCAGCCACACAATTCTTTGACCTTATTGAGATGATTTAGTAGGCTTTTAGTAATTTTTGTTCCTTGACATACGTTTTGTGCAATTGATTTTAAGCCGCACGTTTGACTCTTGCGAACGGAATGTCACCAGGAATGTTCCAGCTGCTCAACCGTACAGTCCCATCCTCAGCCTGGGAAAAGGGAAGAATGCAGAAACTTGGAATCTAGGACCTTGGATTCTGCGTTCTAGAGGAGCTCCTCCCTGCCACACCTGGAGCAATGCGCTGGAATTGCTCCTCCCACTCCCACTCCCTCGCCCCCGCCCCCTCCCCACTCGCCCCCTCTACCAGTAGTGCCCTAGTCCTAAGAGTCCTCAGCCAGCACTTGCCTCTGCTGCGCCCCAGACTCTGTCCTAAGCCTGGGTCGCGCTGTTCAGCGACCCTCAGCCCTTTTCCCAGGCTCCTTAAGCGCTAAGGACCAGAATTCCAGGCAAAGACTGCTGCCCCTCCGGGTTCTGGAAGCCCTTCCCTGGAATCTCTGGGTCAATTAAAGCCTC